TCATTATGACGGTTAACGCTTGTCAATCTTTTTATTCTAACATTTGCGAGCTCTCTCCTTGATGACTTGAAGTGTCTGCCTGTCTGGCAGCGGACAAAGTAACATATGACTATATATGGCTTAATAAATTAGTTCCGGTTCCGGCCGGAACTTAAAAAACTGGTTCCGGTGCACCCCTACATTGGTATTGAAGGAACTAGATACTGTTCCGAAATATCACTTACTCAAACCGTCCTGACCGCGTAGCTCAGTTGGAAGAGCATTGGGCTAGTATTCCAGAGGTCGTAGGTTCGAATCCCACCGTGGCTGGGCATACTTTTCAAGCTCGCCCGGTGTGGATATGCACTCAGAGTAACATCGCAAACATATTATTCACCTGAGTACACAACACCAGCACAGAAAATTCATATTACTAGAACACATTGGTATTGAAGGAACTAGATACTGTTCCGAAATATCACTTACTCGAACCGTCCTGACCGTGTAGCTCAGTTGGAACAGCATTGGGCTAGTATTCCAGAGGTCGTAGGTTCGAATCCCACCGTGGCCGGGCATACTTTTCAAGCTCGCCCGGTGTGGATATTTCAGAGTAACATCGCAAACGTATGAAAAGTACTTAGGCAAGATGGACGGTGGTAATTAGGAGATTCACAATTGTGTTACTATAATTATAGTACTAGACAACACAATAATCAACTTCTCTTTCAGTTGATAACGACTTTGATGATGATGATGACGCCCAAAATGAATCTGAATTAGGTATAATCATGCATATTATTACTCATCATTATATATTATGCAATCATTGTTAAATGTCAAAGATGATTTTGCAGGCATCTCACTTGTTTGATGCAACTTTAGATCCCTGGCAGGAATTGAACCTGCGGCCCTGCAATTCCGTTGCAGCGCTCTAACCACAAGTTCATGTATATATACCAGGGTACTGCCATGTTAGGTTATGGGTAAATATCTTAAAAACTTTATTTAACAATGGCAATGCATGTGCCCTGAGATGTGCCCTACTTTATTATTTTACTTTGTCTGATTTTAATCCTCAGTCCACAGCCTCTCCTTTTTGTTTTTCAACTTATTTTTAAAGTGAAGTTTGAATTTTGAAACAATCCTGGCAAATGTTTTGAAACAGGTGTGCAAATTTGAAATACTGGCCAAATTTAAGTCAATTTATTGTTACAGTACCATGTCCAAGCAGTAAGATCAGTGCAAACAGGACTCAAAGTGCCATGTGGGGCACTTCTTAAAATATTAAATATTTACATTTATTAAAAACTGTGAAAAAACATATGCCATTTGTTTGAACACTGACTCAATATCACACGCAACTTAAATGTGCGAATAAAGGTATGTTTACACACAACGATCGCAATCCTTGGCACCCACACACTCTTCCAAAGATATCTGCTGGTTTCATTCCTACAAGCTGTGAAGGAAAATAGTTTTTAATGTTCTTTGAATTCTCATGCTCTAATTGTAGACAGAACCGATGAAAATGATGATGATAATTATAACAATGCCAATGCAAGAGATGATGACGATTACGCAGATGAAGGCGAAAGTGATTTGAAACATAAGGAAGACGACGACTCAGATGAGGAAGAATATAAAGATGGCGAGGATAGAGAAGTGGAAATCTCAGAAAAACGTGCTGGAGGAGACACACAAGATTTGGATGATGATGACGATGATGATATGAGAGATTCTGATGCAAGATCTGATGATCAAACTGTCGATGCTGCTGCTAAAAGAGTTGTCGAAGATTTTGAAGGCAATCTGGCTTTGGAGAAAAACTCTGGTAATGCTGCTTAGAAGGTTTATGACTTAATTGTTACATCTTATTATTGTCACATCATCACTGCATGGCATTTCTGAGACACGAAATTTTAAATTTTTAGATCAACCTAGTTTGGACCAGGATGATGATGTGGAAGGTGAAGAAGGTGGGGACGATTCCAATGATATGGGAAGCCAAATATCAAAATTGAAGAAAATATTCAACCAAGACATGCCCAAGGTAAGTTAGTCTAGAGCTGCTCCTGATCAATAGATTATTTTTCCACAATCGATTATGCTTAACAGTAATCGGATCATCTATAACACCACACAGCATGATGCGGGAATGAGTTAATTTCTTTCCAGATTAAAAAAAATGCCACAAGATTTTGTTGATTCAAAATTGTTGGGTCAAATATCAAATTCACTCACAACGTGCAAAGTTTACCATAGTCTGATCGGGTTTACCAGTTTATTAGAAGAATTTATTACCATTTGCATCCTACATTGCGCCATTCAGCAGTTCCGGTTCTTGCTTGATATTAAAAATGGTGATCTGTGCAGAACGTTTTATCATCCAGCAAAAAAATGTTGTCTCTTTGTGTCTTCCAGTTCCATTAAACTTGCTTGTCTGTGGTTTTTAGGAAATTAATGAGTTGAAAAGTAACAGTAAAACATTAAGGGATAATCTGGACAATTTAAACGCAAAGTTGGAAAATTTCTTAAGAGAGAATGGTATTAAACAGGTAAGTTGCATTTATAGTCTCGAAAGTGATACTATAGAACAACTCGCACCAAAGGCTGGGCATTTGAAAGCTGGTTATAGTTAATCCTGGCTTAATTAATTAATGAAAAACTTAAAAGCCATCTTCTCAATACTGTAGCTTATCTATATTAACATAGAAATCCACAATCTTGTTTGGATCAATAAAAGTTTTATTTTCTAAAGTTTTAAAAATATATACACATTTGTTAATCAAAAGATGTACTGTTTAGTTAATTAATGTGATGAGGAGAGAGATTTTTGGACAATATCATGGTTGAATTAGATTATTTTGAATAATTATCAATAATATATTTTACAGGATCCTGCTATTCCACAGTCTGATGGTGAACATGACTATGCATATAATTGACGTTTACAATCTGAGGTATGCATTGACCTTTTTCATTTATTTACAGTAACTATCACGACATAATTTGTGGTTGGAAAGGGTGTTATTATTAAATGGCATACATATATGACTCGAAAGTGTCGTTGTTATTTTTAGTCTAATTTGAAAGATCACTGAAAACTGTTGAGTAACTTCTTTGACAGATTTTTGTTTTCTTGCTTCGTTTTGGAGATCTTTCATTTTGTATGATATGTAAAGGACCAACTTTCTACGTCACATATACATAATGATTTAGCCCTAAAAGCTGTATATCTTTAATACGACTAAACACAATCAGTAGAAAACCTACATGGGTGTCGTTGTGGACAAATCTCGTGCTCATCATTTATTTTGAGCGAATTTATTTGATAGTGACAAAATTATATAACATTTTAAAATAAGTCATTATGCATGTGTGACGTAGAAAGTTGGTCCTTTGCATATCATTCATACAAAATGAAATATCTTCAAAACGAAGCAAGAAAACAACTTACAGAAGTTACTCTACAGTTTTCAATGATCTCGAGTCATATGCCCTTTAACTTTATCTATGCCCACTTGATCAAAACTGTATCCAGTACTACGACTTGATATAAAACATCCAGTCCTAGCATATTTGACCAAAGTGATCCAACATCCAGTCCTAGCATATTTGACAAACAGATATACTTTAGCGACCTCTTAAATTCCATCATGAATAGATTCTGTCTGACAACGAATTGTTGTATTATTATATTTTTTGGGCAAGGTTCCATGATTCATAGCCTGTCAATATATCATGGTCTGGACGCCTGGCAAATTTCAAAGCCACAAAATAGAAGAGCTCTGTTTTGATGCTGAACTGTACCTCACCGTACACAAATCCTTTGTCTCAACTTTATTAAATATTATTCATCGTGGTTGCACGTTTCACATCAGCTATCCCTATCGGACGGTTACTTCATTATACGAAAATACAATGAGCTCAATCACCGCGACCGTGCGCAAATTAACATAAACTCCGACAAAAACATTAAACAATGACTTGTGTTTAGTTGCCAGACCACCATACCTTGATAGAGTACGGTTCCATGTGATTAACTTTCTATCAACTAAATTAATGTCCATTTAAAAAAAGAAAGTATGAAGAATTATAATTTATTTTTTTATTTAATTTAGAATCACATTGGGTTATGAGAAGTTCAAAAATCCAGTGGAACATTTGAAACGTTTTTATATTTGAACAGTTTGTAATATGTATTTATACAAGACAGTCACTGTAGTACATGTACAGTAATAACATATTCTTATGTGATACTTTGTTTACATTAACTTTGTTGTAGGATGTGCTGGATCCCAGATACCAGTCTATCCGGTAGCCTGCATGCACCCATGCTATATATCCGGTAAAATATTGGCATCCAGCAGTATCAAGTATGTGAAACTGAAAAACTGCTTTGTTTGTCTTTGTGTGTGTTACGAAATTGTGGAATGTTCCTGAGAACAATTACTTGGCATGTTTTCATGATGTAAACATCCCTCTGCTGTAGATTGCCTGCACTACAGATAATTATTATGCTTATTATATAAAAGAGATACTTACACTTACTTAAAATATTATGGAGAAAAATAGTGAACTGTTGTCCAGGTACTAAATTAGTATATGTTATCCGGTATTGTTTGCTATCCAGTTACCATTTTCCCTATCCAGAAGACTATCCGGTACAATTCTGGTATCTGGCAATTAATATAGTGTACTGCACATCCCTACTTTGTTGCTGTAGTGAATTTAGTGAACTTGTGTTTCACAATGTTGTGTAATCAATGTAGCTTTAATCTATATTGTTGACATTAGCCTCGATAATAAAATAACTATTGTACTGGTTATCTCCTGCACCGTTTTCTTTCAAAAATCCAAAACTAGTTTTATATCAAATAACAACATAAAACGCTCACTGAGTTTCCAGCGATATACATACCCTTTTCTAGATATATACCTAATAATAATAAGCGAACGAACGAATGTATTCCTTCCACTCGTGAACTCATTTACCATTGTCACATATAGTAAATGTCCAGGCCTTGTGACCCTGGATGGGCACTTAAAAGGAAAGAAAAAACTTTCTTTCCTTTTAAGTGCCCATCCAGGGTCACAAGGCCTAAACATTTACTATATGTGACAATGGTAAATGAGCTCACGAGTGGAAGGAATACATTCGTTCGTTCGCTTATTATTATTAGCTATATATCTAGAAAAGGGTATGTATATCGCTGGAAACTCAGTGAGCGTTTTATGTTGTTATTTTATTTCCTGAGTACGGGTCTTCGACCAATTTCATATTGTTAGTTTTATATCGTTAAAAAGTTCACTTTTATTGATTTCTCCCCCCACTTTTCCCGTCAAGTTTTCTCACTTTTCTCCCCAAGTTTTCTCACTTTTCTCCCCCAGTTTACTTACTTTCCTCTCCATGTTTTCTCACTTTTCTCCCCACGTTTTCTCACTTTTTTTCTCCAAGTTTTCTCACTTTTCTCTCCAAGTTTTCTCTCCAAGTTTACTTACTTTTCTCTCCACGTTTTCTCACTTTTCTCTCCAAGTTTTCTCACTTTTCTCTCCAGCTTTACCCACTTTTCTCTCCAGCTTTACTTACTTTTTTCTCCACGTTTTCTCACTTTTCTCTCCAAGTTTTCTCACTTTTCTCTCCAAGTTTTCTCTCCAAGTTTACTTACTTTTCTCTCCAAGTTTTCTCACTTTTCTCTCCATGTTTTCTCACTTTTCTCTCCAGCTTTACCCACTTTTCTCTCCAGCTTTACTTACTTTTTTCTCCACGTTTTCTCACTTTTCTCTCCAAGTTTTCTCACTTTTCTCTCCAAGTTTTCTCTCCAAGTTTACTTACTTTTCTCTCCAAGTTTTCTCACTTTTCTCTCCATGTTTTCTCACTTTTCTCTCCAGCTTTACCCACTTTTCTCTCCAGCTTTACTTACTTTTTTCTCCACGTTTTCTCACTTTTCTCTCCAAGTTTTCTCACTTTTCTCTCCAAGTTTTCTCTCCAAGTTTACTTACTTTTCTCTCCAAGTTTTCTCACTTTTCTCTCCATGTTTTCTCACTTTTCTCTCCAGCTTTACCCACTTTTCTCTCCAGCTTTACTTACTTTTTTCTCCACGTTTTCTCACTTTTCTCTCCAAGTTTTCTCACTTTTCTCTCCAAGTTTTCTCTCCAAGTTTACTTACTTTTCTCTCCAAGTTTTCTCACTTTTCTCTCCATGTTTTCTCACTTTTCTCTCCAGCTTTACCCACTTTTCTCTCCAGCTTTACTTACTTTTTTCTCCACGTTTTCTCACTTTTCTCTCCAAGTTTTCTCACTTTTCTCTCCAAGTTTTCTCTCCAAGTTTACTTACTTTTCTCTCCAAGTTTTCTCACTTTTCTCTCCATGTTTTCTCACTTTTCTCTCCAGCTTTACCCACTTTTCTCTCCAGCTTTACTTACTTTTTTCTCCACGTTTTCTCACTTTTCTCTCCAAGTTTTCTCACTTTTCTCTCCAACTTTACCCACTTTTCTCTCCAGCTTTACTTACTTTTTTCTCCACGTTTTCTCACTTTTCTCTCCAAGTTTTCTCTCCAAGTTTACTTACTTTTCTCTCCACGTTTTCTCACTTTTCTCTCCAAGTTTTCTCTCCAAGTTTACTTACTTTTCTCTCCACGTTTTCTCACTTTTCTCTCCACGTTTTCTCACTTTTCTCTCCACGTTTTCTCATTTTTCTCTCCATGTTTTCTCACCTTTCTCTCCAAGTTTTCTCACTTTTCTCTCCAAGTTTTCTCCCGAAGTTTTCTCACTTTTCTCTCCACGTTTTCTCTCCAAGTTTTCTTAATTTTCTCTCCACGTTTTCTCACTTTTCTCTCAAAGTTTCCTCCCGAAGTTTTCTCACTTTTTCTCCACGTTTTCTCACTTTTCTCTCCAAGTTTTCTTACTTTTCCCTCCATGTTTTCTCTCCAAGTTTCCTCCCGAAGTTTTCTCTCCACGTTTTCTCTCCAAGTTTTCTTCCCAAGTTTTCTTCCCGAAAACTCGTTCTTGAGTGTTGTGAGGAGAAGGTTCTTGAGTGTTGTGAGGAGAAGGTTCTTGAGTGTTGTGAGGACAAGGTTCTCGAGTGTTGTGAGGACAAGGTTCTTGAGTCTTGTGAGGACAAGGTTCTTGAGCGTTGTGAGGACAAGGTTCTAGAGCGTTGTGAGGACAAGGTCTTGAGTGTTGTGAGGACAAGGTTCTTGAGTGTTGTGAGGACAAGGTTCTTGAGTGTTGTGAGGACAAGATTCTTGAGTGTTGTGAGGACAAGGTTCTTGAGTGTTGTGAGGACAAGGTTCTTGAGTGTTGTGAGGACAAGATTCTTGAGTGTTGTGAGGACAAGGTTCTTGAGTGTTGTGAGGACAAGGTTCTTGAGTGTTGTGAGGACAAGGTTCTTGAGTGTTGTGAGGACAAGGTTCTTGAGTATTGTGAGGACAAGGTTCTTGGGTGTTGTGAGGACAAGGTTCTTGAGTGTTGTGAGGACAAGGTTCTTGAGTGTTGTAAGGACAAAGTTCTTGAGTGTTGTGAGGACAAGGTTCTTGAGTGTTGTGAGGACAAGGTTCTTGAGTGTTGTGAGGACAAGGTTCCTGGATGTTGTGAGGACAAGGTTCTTGAGTGTTGTGAGGACAAGGTTCTTGAGTGTTGTGAGGACAAGGTTCTTGAGTGCTGTGAGGACAAGGTTCTTGAGTGTTGTGAGGACAAGTTTCTGGAGTGTTGTGAGGACAAGGTTCTTGAGTGTTGTGAGGACAAGGTTCCTGGATGTTTTGAGGACAAGGTTCTTGAGTGTTGTGAGGACAAGGTTCTTGAGTGTTGTGAGGACAAGGTTCTTGAGTGTTGTGAGGACAAGGTTCTTGAGTGTTGTCAGGACAAGGTTCTTGAGTGTTGTGAGGATAAGGTTCCTGGATGTTGTGAGGAGAAGGTTCTTGAGTGTTGTGAGGACAAGGTTCTTGAGTGTTGTGAGGACAAGGTTCTTGAGTGTTGTGAGGACAAGGTTCTTGAGTGTTGTGAGGACAAGGTTCTTGAGTGTTGTGAGGACAAGGTTCTTGCGTGTTGTGAGGACAAGGCTCTTGGGTGTTGTGAGGACAAGGTTCTCGAGTGTTGTGAGGACAAGGTTCTCGAGTGTTGTGAGGACAAGGTTCTTGGGAACAGTGAGGACAAGGTTCTTGAGTGTTGTGAGTAGTCTATATAAGTCTTCCCAAACTATATAAGTCTTAATTGCCAAACTATATAAGTTTTCCCGAACTATATTTCATATTGCTTTCATAGAACCGTTATTTCAGCATAACTAGCAACTGAAATTATAAAAACCCGGTTAATAATGGCTGAAAAAGTAAGTAGTTAGCCTTGCTTTTTCGCTATTTTTTTGTATATTTCAAAATATATTAAAAACTTTGTGAACAATAACTGAAAAAGTAAGGGTGTTATTCTTTACTTTTTCACTATTTTTTGGTACTTCTCCAAAATTAAAAACATGCTTAAATGGCTGAAAAAGTAAAACGCCTTACTTTTTCGCTATTTTTTTGTACTTTTCAAAAATTAAAAACCTGGTTAAAAATAACTGAAAAAGTAACGGTGTTAGTCTTTACTTTTTCACTATTTTTTGGTACTTTTCCAAAATTAGAAACCTGCTTAAATAACTGAAAATGTAAGGAGTTAGCCTTACTTTTTCGTTATTTTTCGTACTTTTCAAAAATGAAAAACCCGATTAAAAATAACTAAAAAAGTAAGGATATTAGTTTTTAGTTTTTCGCTATTTTTTTTTGTTCTAAGTTAAAAACCCGTTCAAAAATGACTGAAAAATTAAGGGTTAAGTGAGAAAACTTGGAGAGAAAAGTGAGAAAACTTGGAGAGAAAAGTATGAAAACCTACAGAGAAAAGTGAGAAAACCTGGTGAGAAAGGTCAGAAAACCTGCAGAGAAATTGAAATCTTGAGTATTGTGAGGACAAGGTTCTTGGGTGTTGTGAGGACAAGGTTCTTGGGTGTTGTGAGGACAATGTTCTGGAGTGTTGTGAGGACAAGGTTCTGGAGTGTTGTGAGGACAAGGTTCTGGAGTGTTGTGAGGACAAGGTTCTTGAGTGTTGTGAGGACAAGGTTCTTGAGTGTTGTCAGGACAAGGTTCTTGAGTGTTGTGAGGATAAGGTTCCTGGATGTTGTGAGGAGAAGGTTCTTGAGTGTTGTGAGGACAAGGTTCTTGAGTGTTGTGAGGACAAGGTTCTTGAGTGTTGTGAGGACAAGGTTCTTGAGTGTTGTGAGGACAAGGTTCTTGAGTGTTGTGAGGACAAGGTTCTTGAGTGTTGTGAGGACAAGTTTCTGGAGTGTTGTGAGGACAAGGTTCCTGGGTTTTGTGAGGACAAGGTTCTTGAGTGTTGTGAGGACAAGGTTCTTGAGTGTTGTGAGGACAAGGTTCTTGAGTGTTGTGAGGACAAGGTTCTTGAGTGTTGGGAGGACAAGGTTCTCGAGTGTTGTGAGGACAAGGTTCTCGAGTGTTGTGAGGACAAGGTTCTCGAGTGATGTGAGGACAAGGTTCTTGGGTGTTGTGAGGACAAGGTTCTTGGAAACAGTGAGGACAAGATTCTTGAGTGTTGTGAGTAGTCTATATAAGTCTTCCCAAACTATATAATTCTTAATTTCCAAATTATATAAGTCTTCCCAAACTATATTTCATATTGCTTTAATAGAACCGTTATTTCAATATAACTAGCAACTGAAATTATAAAAACCCGGCTAATAATGGCTGAAAAAGTAAGTCGTTAGCCTTGCTTTTTCGCTATTTTTTTGTTCGTTTCAAGATATATTAAAAACCTGGTTAAAAATAACTGAAAAAGTAAGGGTGTTAGTCTTTACTTTTTCACTATTTTTTGGTATTTTCTCAAAATTAAAATGCTGCTCAAATGGCTGAAAAAGTGAGTAGTTAGCAAGCTTCTCGCTATTTCTTTGTACATTTCAAAAAATTAAAAACCTCGTTAAAAATAATTAAGAAAGAAAGGGTGTTAGTCTTTACTTTTTTACTATTTTTTGCTACTTTTCCAAAATTAAAAAATTAAAAACCTTTTAAAAATAACTGAAAAAGTAAGGGTGTTAGTCTTTACTTTTTCACTATTTTGCGGTACTTCTC